AAGGATAAAATCTGACTGCCATTCTGGGGTCAAGAAGGAATTTTTTCCCTAGCTTGTTTCAAATTGGAAGCGCTTCAAACTGAGTTTTTCTCCTTCTTTTGGATCAACCGTTTAAACACAAATGTGAGAAAGGCTGTACCTAGTGGGCACTAGTCACTTTAACTTTGTAATCTAGTTGTCGAGCCGCTATACCTGCTTCCATAGTTTCTTGGGTCTCACGTATTTACCACAACCACCACGTCCTTCTTGCAGCATTATCTCAGGAACTCTCACCTATTCATGCAGTCTATTGTTTACCTTCTCTACCCCCACACTTAGTCTACCCTAGAGGGCCAACACGTTTACTATACCATACTTCCCCTTGCACAATTAAGAGTGCCGGTTAAAGTGCCGGGCAACTATTTACTCGCTCGGCATTTACCATACAGCTAGGCAATTGGGTTTTTGTTGATTGTTTTACATTTCCGGCAGGTATCCAATTTTTGCCCTCTTTTATTACAGGCCTACTACGACGTCGGTTTCCGGCACACCTCAACCAACTTATTTCCCCCTTTACTTCCTATACGGCCTTATTTGCCCCTCACATAAATGTAAAGGCTTGGCCTGCAGTTGTGGGAGGGGCATGTTACCCTAATTAAGCCCCCTACTCACCTTCCTCCGCCCTATACATTTTTTAGTGACTTGCATGTCCCCACCCTCCACTCCCTCTAGCTATACTTTTCATTACACCTCATGGGTGGGCCTTCTTTTATTACAGGCCTACCACGACGTCGGTTCCGGCACACCTCAACCGACTTATTTCACCCTTTACTTCCTATACGGCCTTATTTGCCCCTCACACAACTATCTAGGAACCGCTCTGTAGAGACAGAATCTGCTTTTAGCCATGGCTCATCACAATACAATGAGGGAATACAGACAAATAATAAACACATACTGATACAAAATGAACTTAGAACTCTGTTCCATCCAATCTAGGAAATACAATACTCGTGAGCTTTCAAACAAAAGTTAATAAAAGGAACTTGACACAAAAGTGTGCATGGGGTTTTAAAGTAATAGCCAGAGATACGGTGCTATATGCAAACACAGTGTAACTTGTGAACTAATTAAATAAGATTAGAGACAAAGAAGGTGTAAAAAGGTAGACCACTGGTGGGTAATAGGAGGGTGGATAGTGCTAGCAGGGGGAAGTCAGTGTGCAGGGATATTCTCTAAACGAAAGGAAATTAATTTTAGAAGCAGACAACAGGCTTTAAGTTTTCTGTAGAGAGATAGGGAGGTGCAGTTGGATGGGTAGAGAGTGTATGGGACTGTGTAGCATTTAAAGGTAAAGTAAAAATATTTTGGCAAACAAGTGTTATTTTCCTAAAAATTAAAGAAACAAAGAAAAACATAGATGACAATGAAACAAGGCAAACAATGAAGAATTACATACAGGGAGTGCAGAATTATTAGGCAAGTTGTATTTTTGAGGATTAATTTTATTATTGAACAACAACCATGTTCTCAATGAACCCAAAAAACTCATTAATATCAAAGCTGAATATTTTTGGAAGTAGTTTTTAGTTTGTTTTTAGTTATAGCTATGTTAGGGGGATATCTGTGTGTGCAGGTGACTATTACTGTGCATAATTATTAGGCAACTTAACAAAAAACAAATATATACCCATTTCAATTATTTATTATTACCAGTGAAACCAATATAACATCTCAACATTCACAAATATACATTTCTGACATTCAAAAACAAAACAAAAACAAATCAGTGACCAATATAGCCACCTTTCTTTGCAAGGACACTCAAAAGCCTGCCATCCATGGATTCTGTCAGTGTTTTGATCTGTTCACCATCAACATTGCGTGCAGCAGCAACCACAGCCTCCCAGACACTGTTCAGAGAGGTGTACTGTTTTCCCTCCTTGTAAATCTCACATTTGATGATGGACCACAGGTCTCAATGGGGTTCAATGGGGTTCAGATCAGGTGAACAAGGCATGGCCAGATGTCATTTTCTTCTTCTTTATACCCTTTCTTGCCAGCCACGCTGTGGAGTACTTGGACGCGTGTGATGGAGCATTGTCCTGCATGAAAATCATGTTTTTCTTGAAGGATGCAGACTTCTTCCTGTACCACTGCTTGAAGAAGGTGTCTTCCAGGAACTGGCAGTAGGACTGGGAGTTGAGCTTGACTCCATCCTCAACCCGAAAAAGGCCCCACAAGCTCATCTTTGATGATACCAGCCCAAACCAGTACTCCACCTCCACCTTGCTGGCGTCTGAGTCGGACTGGAGCTCTCTGCCCTTTACCAATCCAGCCACGGGCCCATCCATCTGGCCCATCAAGACTCACTCTCATTTCATCAGTCCATAAAACCTTAGAAAAATCAGTCTTGAGATATTTCTTGGCCCAGTCTTGACGTTTCAGCTTGTGTGTCTTGTTCAGTGGTGGTCGTCTTTCAGCCTTTCTTACCTTGGCCATGTCTCTGAGTATTGCACACCTTGTGCTTTTGGGCACTCCAGTGATGTTGCAGCTCTGAAATATGGCCAAACTGGTGGCAAGTGGCATCGTGGCAGCTGCACGCTTGACTTTTCTCAGTTCATGGGCAGTTATTTTGCGCCTTGGTTTTTCCACACGCTTCTTGCGACCCTGTTGACTATTTTGAATGAAACGCTTGATTGTTCGATGATCACGCTTCAGAAGCTTTGCAATTTTAAGAGTGCTGCATCCCTCTGCAAGATATCTCACTATTTTGACTTTTCTGAGCCTGTCAAGTCCTTCTTTTGACCCATTTTGCCAAAGGAAAGGAAGTTGCCTAATAATTATGCACACCTGATATAGGGTTTGATGTCATTAGACCACACCCCTTCTCATTACAGAGATGCACATCACCTAATATGCTTAATTGGTAGTAGGCTTTCGAGCCTATACAGCTTGGAGTAAGACAACATGCATAAAGAGGATGATGTGGTCAAAATACTCATTTGCCTAATAATTCTGCACTCCCTGTAGAGACAAAGATTAGAAGTGCTAAAATACAAAAGTTACAGTGAGAGGTAGACAGACAGTTTTGATTGAACACTGTAAAATATATTGTAACCAGACTCCTAGCAATAGATAAGACACATAGTACAGTTAATGATGATTATTATTATGAAGGAATATGATTTCCATGTTACAAGACTAGATAAGGGCACTATGGAAGAAAATGCAATATTATGTAATGCTTAACACCAAGGTTTAATATTATTCATATTATCTGTCATTGTGTAAGCTCCTAGGTTACCGCTCTGTGTATTATAAAATAAACAAAGAGCTGTGAATACAGCTTTGTTATGCTCAGAGTTACTTTACAGCAGTGTTTTGTGCAATATGTGTAATGCTGTGTAAAGTATGTTAATGTGAGTAATGTGTGTGTAATGTGTGTTAGTTTAATGTGAGTAATGAGTCTTAGTGTATGTATATACTGAGTAAAGTGTGTATGTGTGTTTAATGTGAGTAATGTTTGCCAGTGTTTGTGTGTGCTGTGAGTAATGTGTGTGTGTACTGTGCATAATGGGTGTTAGTGTGTGTGTGTGTAATGTACATAATGTATGTTAGTGTGTGTTTAACATGAGTAATATGTGTTAGTTTGTGTGTGTTTAATAAGAGTAATGTGGGTAAATGTATGAGTACTTTGAGTAATGTGTGTTAGTCAGTGTGTGTACTGTGAGTTATGTGTGTTAGTGTGTTTCTGTATGTACTAAAGTGTGTGTGTGTGTGTGCCCCCGTGTATTGTGAGTAATGTGTGTGTATATACTGTGAGTAGTGTGTGTGTGTGTACTGTAATTAATATGTGTTACTTTCTGTGTACTGTGAGTAATGTCTGTAAGTGTGTGTGTGTAATGTGTGTGTGTGAGTAATGTGTGTGTGTACTGTGAGTAATGTGTGTTAATGTGTGTATTTGTGTGTTTACTGTTTGTTAGTGTATGTGTGTGTGTGTACCCTGTGTATTGTGAGTAATGTGTGTTTACTGTGAGTAATATGTGCTAGTGTACTGTGAGTAATGTGTTTACACTCTTTCTCTCCACTGTGTGTTAGTGCCGGTATGTGTATGTAATGAGTATTACGTGTTAGTGTGTTTGTGTGTACTGTGTGTAATGTGTTAGTGTGTGTGCCCTATGAATAATGTGTGTGTGTACTGTGAGTAATGTGTGTTAGTGTGCTAGTATGTGTGTACTGTGAGTAGTGTGTGTGTGTACTGTGAGTAATGTGTGTTAGTGTGTGTACGGTGAGTAGTGTGTGTTAGTGTGTATACCGTGAGTAATGTGTGTTAGCGTGTGTGTTTAATGTGAGTAATATGTATGTACTTTAAGTAATGTGTGTTTGTACTCTGAATAATGTGTGTTGGTGTGTGTCTGTGTACTGTAACATGTGTTAGTGTGGGAACTGTGAGTAATGTTTGTTAGTGTGTTTTATGTGAGTAATGTGTGTGTGTGTGTGTGTGTTTGTGTATACTGTGAGTAATGTGTGCTAATGTGTGTGGGGGTGTGTGAGTAACCTGTGTATTGTTAGTAATTTGTGTTAGTGTGTTTACTGTGAGTAATGTGTGCTAGTGTATGAGCGTTAGTGTGTTCACACTCTCTCTCTCCATTGTGTGTTAGCGTATGTATGTGTATGTACTGTGAGTAATATGTGTTAGTGTGTCTGTACTGTGTGTTATTGTGTGTGTACTGTGAATAATGTGTTTTAGTGTGGGTGTACTGTCTGTGAGTAATATGTGTTAGTGAGTGTACTGTGAGAAATGTGTATTGGTGTATTGGTACTGTGAATAATGTGTGTTAGTGTATGAGTAATGTGTGTTTTATGTGGGGGGTGTGGGCGTGTGGACCGTGAGTAATGCTGTTAGTGTGTGTGTGTGTGTACTGTAATTACTTTGAATATTGTGTGTTACTGTGTGCTGTGCATAACGTGTGTGTACTGTGTATGATGTGTGTTAGTGTGTGCCGGGGTGGCAGGCTGCCTGCTCTCCCCTCCTCCCTAGCTGGCTGGCTGGCTCGGTGGGCGCTCAGTGCGCAGGCCCCGGGAGCGGGGCATTTTAACAGGGACAATAATAGGTGGCGTGTGAGCCGGGAGCCGCTCAGAGGGATGGGATCCGAACCAGGAGAGCTCTGCAGCTAGCAGCACTGCTCGGCCGGCACAGCAAGCGGGGACTCGGGAAAGGTAACGGGAATACCGCCAGCATGGACATGGGGGTTAAAGGAGGCAGAGGGAGCTCTCCGAACACTGTGTGATCTCTGTCATTGAAATAATGATCATGGGTATGGAGGTATCTGTAAGCAGAGCATACACACGGTATATGTGTGCACAGTGCGAGTACATGGCTGTACCCATATAATGTGTTATATATCCTGTATACAGTTTGTGCAGTCTGTATATAGTGCATATATTCTCTATATAGTCTGTGCAGTCTGTATATAGTGCATATATTCTCTATATAGTCTGTGCAGTCTGTATATAGTGCATATATTCTCTATATAGTCTGTGCAGTCTGTATATAGTGCATATATTCTGTATATAGTCTGTGCAGTCTGTATATAGTGCATATATTCTCTATATAGTCTGTGCAGTCTGTATATAGTGCATATATTCTGTATATAGTCTGTGCAGTCTGTATATAGTGCATATATTCTGTATACAGTTTGTGCAGTCTGTATATAGTGTATATATCCGGTATATAGTCTGTGCAGTCTGTATATAGTGTATATATCCGGTATATAGTCTGTGCAGTCTGTATATATCATGTATATAGTCTGTGCAGTCTGTATATAATGTATATAGTCTGTATATATCTTATATATAGTCTGTGTATAGGGAAAATATCCTGTATATAGTCTGTGCAGTCTGTATATAGTCTCTATATCCTAGTTTGCACACATACAGCACTATATGCAGGGTCAGGGTGTGAGCACTTTTAGTATGGGAGCACTGTTAGTATGGTAGCACTGTTAGTATGGGAGCACTGTTAGTATGGGAGCACTATTAGTATAGGGTCACTATTAGTATGGGAGCACTGTTACTATGGAAGCAGTATTAGTAATATGGGAGCACTGTTACTATGGGATCAGTATTATTAGTATGGGGACACTATTAGTAATATAGGAGCACTATTATTAGTATTGGAGCAGTATTAGCGAGGGAGCAGTAATATTAGTATGTGAGCAATATTATAAGTGTGGGAGCACTGTTACTATAGGAGCAGTATTATTCGTATAAGAGCAGTATTATTCGTATAAGTGCAGTATTATTAGTATGGGAGCAGTATATAAGAGCAGTATTAGTATACGAGCAGTATTATTAGTAGGGGTGCAGTATTATTTGTATAAGAGCGGTATTAGTAGGGAAGCACTAATATTCAAATAAGAGCAGTGTTATTAGTAGGGGAGCAGTATTATTCGTATAAGAGCAGTGTTATTAGTAGGGGAGCAGTATTATTCTTATAAGAGCAGTATTATTACTATGAGAGCAGTATTATTACTATGAGAGCAGTATTATTAGTAGGGGAGCAGTATTATTCGTATAAGAGCAGTATATTATTATTATTAGTATGAGAGGTAGTGGGTAAAATGGACTGTTTGTGGCCGGGGTGAGCGCTGTGTCCGCTGGGTGTGAGGTTCCCCGTGACAGGCTGGCGATGTGCAGCCATAGTAAATAGCTTGCCGCTCTGACACATTCAGGAGAAACAGATGGCAGCTAATGACGTCACGTATGACGCGCTCTTGGTCTCAGAATCGATTTCAGCACCATGGAGAGAGCTGTGACTGTGACAGCAACAGCAACACAGGACAGACTCGGGGGGAGGACACTTCCGCCCTCTATCTCTCACACTCTCACCATCCCTCTGTCTCTCACACTCTCTCACCATCCCTCTCTCTCTCTCACTCTCACCATCCCTCTGTCTCTCTCACTCTCTCACCATCCCTCTGTCTCTCACACTCTCACCATCCCTCTGTCTCTCACACTCTCACCATCCCTCTGTCTCTCACACTCTCACCATCCCTCTGTCTCTCACACTCTCACCATCCCTCTGTCTCTCACACACTCTCACCATCCCTCTGTCTCTCTCACTCTCACAATCCCTCTGTCTCTCTCACTCTCTCACCATCCCTCTGTCTCTCACACTCTCACCATCCCTCTGTCTCTCTCACTCTCTCACCATCCCTCTGTCTCTCACACTCTCACCATCCCTCTGTCTCTCACACTCTCACCATCCCTCTGTCTCTCACTCTCTCACCATCCCTCTGTCTCTCATACTCTCTCACCATCCCTCTGTCTCTCACACTCTCTCACCATCCCTCTGTCTCTCACACTCTCTCACCATCCCTCTGTCTCTCATACTCTCTCACCATCCCTCTGTCTCTCACACTCTCACCATCCCTCTGTCTCGTTCAGATTGGGAGAGCAGGTACATTTGCTGTTGCTAGTCTCTGATCTCAGTTTGTTTATAGTAGACAGGGCTGCTATGTCACATCACAGGCCTGATCTTATCCACACACACAGTACTTCTCAGCATCACACCTCACCGCTAATGAGAGACACACAATGAGAAACTGAGACAGCTCAGAACCAACAGCTAATGAGAGAGACACACAATGAGAAACTGAGACAGCTCAGAAGCAACAGCTAATGAGAGAGACACACAATGAGAAACTGAGACAGCTCAGAACCAACTTCCTAATGAGAGAGACACACAATGAGAAACTGAGACAGCTCAGAACCAACTTCTAATGAGAGAGACAGAGAGAGAGAGAGTTGAGAACTGACACCTAATGAGAGAGACAGATATTGTTCAGAATTTACAGCTAATGAGAGGGATACAATTGGAAACTAGGAGAGCTCAGAACTGACAGCTGATGAGAGATGCACAAAGAGAGATAAACAGAGAGAGTTTAGAGCTCACAGCTAATGAGAGACAGAAAGTTCAGAACAGACAGCCAATGACGCAGGGGAGGAGAGAGACAGAGAGTTAAAAACTGTCTGCCATTGAAAGCGAGAATATTCAGAGCTGACAAGTAATGCAAGAGAAAGAAAGATAGTTCAGAATTTTAAAAGTTATTGAGAGGGAGAGAGTGTTCAGAAGTGATATAATAAGAGGGAGTTCAGAACTCACAGCTAGTGAAAAAGTGAGCTCTCAGATCTGTCAATGAGAGGGAACTCATATCTGACAGCTAACGAGAGAGTGTTCAGAAGTGATCCCTAATGAGAGAGAGTTTGTGTGTGTGTGTGTGTGTGTGTGTGTGTGCTTCTGTTGGGAAATGAGGGCAAATGGCAGTTGGACAATATATTTTCCTATAAATTATACTTTTAAACATATATTATAATATATAAAAAATATTTATTTGAGTGTGCATATATTCAGGAGCTCTCTATGAGTGAACAGTGACGATAAACTTCAGCCAATGGAAATAAAATGTGTGCTTTCTTCTTTGCTATTATTTACATGTAATACAATGCCTCTCATTTGTTATATAATTCCAAACCACACTAGCTTTGATTTCTTCTCCATTTCATCATAACATCATATCAGTCCTCAAACTGCACAGAATGAATCTTTCCCATGGAAACTAGAATTAAATAAAACATTACCCTATGCTAATGCATGGTTTAAAATTCTTACTTTGTCATTTTCATGCAAAGGTCAAAATCAGATTTTCCACAGTCAACCACTGTTGCAATGAAGCATTTGCATTGATAATTGTCCTTTATACACGCAAAGCAGTCTCCTTTACAAAGCTAGCTTGACTGCATGATTTTACATGTTTATACAGTTCTAGGCACAGACTTCTTAGTTGCTGTAGCTAAGGAGCAATATTCATAGTACTGAGCTTATACATATTTCTGTATGACTCGATCCTGGTGGAGGAGTGCCACAAATGTTAGTTTTAACACCCACTGCTTCCTCTTTGCAGATTTGCTTTTTAGGCTGTCTAGATTTTCACATTTATAGCGTTCTCTTTTCAAGTACTGCACAGTGATTACTGCTACCATTTTCTTCAAAAGAAGGAGATAATCCAATCATGACATGTTGTTACTGTGTAAGCCAGACAAATAACATATTTCTATATTGCGGCTGGAACAAACAGGACCGCGTTTATAAATGTAAAATCAGAGAAATTATGGAGAAAATTGGCAATGCTGCAGGGTTTTCACTAAAATGAGAATTGAACGTTAATTAAAACTGAATTTCAAAATAAATGCCAAAATAGCCAAACTGGAAAAAATCTCTAAGTTAGCTATGCTTCCATTTCAATTACCGTGGCATAAAATTTATAATTCACTGTGAATTCTCATTTTCGCAAATAACCCTGCTGGCGTCAGTAGGTGAATCATTTAGTTGTTTTCAGTGCCGAATGCTCCAGATATAGTACTCTTCCTCAGAATTGTTCCTTTTTCTTTTTTGCTGAATGTAGGCAATGCTAATGCCACCTATTTATTTTAATTACTGAACTGTTACATATTAAATATCATGACTAGAATTACCAGACCAGGATGAGGTAAAATGGTGTGATTTTCTCAATATGCTTTGTTGTCAGTGCCACTGGGTCATCTTAATCATGTGTCATTTAGAGTGATTGAAAATGTGCAAGTGACGTGTATGGATAAAAAATTGAGGCATGCATTGTGAGATGATTTTTTATTAATTTACTGTATGACTTTATTTTACAAATACTGTTTAAACAACAATATGCATAGGATAGGGCATTTATGATTTTATGAGATATATAAGGGACAGAGCAATAATTAGCTATTGTGGTTGGTGGGAAGTGAATAGAAATTAAAGTGTGGTAAGTATGTAATTATGTACGTTATTCTGATACTTTGTCATAGTGAGGGTTCTCTAGAAAGCAATGCAAGATATCAGAGACCTATGATAAATTGCATGTACCTGAGTAGAAATAAATATATAATTAAAGACTAAGATGAGCTTTAATAAAGTACCACTAAAGGTACCCAGACCACTTAATCACAATGAAGTGGTCTGTGTGCAGTGGCCCTCTAGCTTTAATCCCGCAATGTAAAAAATTACAGCCCGTGGCAAAACAGCAGGAATCTCTGAGGTAGAGAGTGCAACCAGGCCCCTGTGTTCCCACTGTTACAGAAAGCTCAGGAGATAGCCAGCTGGCCACCTTAAGGCCCCCCTTGGGACAGGTACTTATTTACTAAGGCAGAGTAGGCAACTGCTTACCTGGATGGCAGGTGACTACTTTGTCGAAATATACAAGGGGGGAGAGGGGAGGTAGGTGGCGAGGGAGCGCTGATGTTCTTGCTGTTCCTTACTGCTCCCTGGTGTGCCATGATGTGATGCCAGGAGCTGAAATATGATGTGACTCAGGCCCTGGCATCAGTAAGCAGCATGTGAGAGAGCAGTGAGTTAGAGCAGGAAGAGGAGTCACTGGACCTAGGGACAGGATCCCCACCGGACCCCAGAGGGAAGATTCCCACCAGGCTTCAGGGAGAGGACATACACCAGCTTAGGCAGGCTGGATAGGCCTAAAAAAATTAAAATAAAACCACAATAAATAAAATTAATTTGTGGCTATTTGTGCAAGAATGTGTAAATGTGTGAGTATGTCAGTATCAGTGTGTGTCTGTCAGGGTGTGTCAAATCAGTGAGCATATGTGTCTGTCTTTAAAAGTGTGTGTCAGTGTGTCAAATCAATGAGTGTGTGTGTGTCGGTAATTCAGTGTCAAATCAGTAAGTGTGTCTCTGTCAGTGAATGTGTATGTCAGTGGCGTACACATGACCCATGGGGCCCCGGTGCAAAAATTGATCTGTGGGCCCCCCCAACCCCCCCGCGCTTACTCGGCGCGGGTTGGGGTCGCAACACATGATGGCGGGCACCTGGTCGCAGGGGTTGCAGGGCTGCAACCCCGCGACCGCGGTATGCACACACACTTAAAGGACCACTACAGACACCCAGATCACATCAGCTCAATGAAGTGGTCTGGGTGCCAGGTCCCTCTAGTTTTAACCCTGCAGCTGAAAACATAGCCGTTTCAGAGAAACGGCTATGTTTCACTGAGGGTTAATCCAGCCTCTGGTGGCTGTCTCATTGACAGCTGCTAGAGGAGCTTCCGCGATTCTCACTGTGAAAATCACAGTGAGAAGACACTCAACGTCCATAGGAAAGCATTGAGTAATGCTTTCCTATGGGCGGTTTAAATGCGCGCGCGCCTCTTGCCGCGCATGTGCATTTCGGAGCTGAGAGGCGGACACTGGGGAGTCCGACGCTGGAGAAAGGTAAATGCTGAAGACACACACACACACTCTCACGAACAGACGCATACACACTAGCTAACAGACACACACATTTACTGACAGAGACACACTCAGCGACAGACATACATACACACTCACTTACAAAACATACACTTTCACTGACAAACACACACTCACTAACAGACATCAAACACACTCAGTAACAGACACACACAGTAACACACTCACTAGCAGACACACACCCAATAACAGACACATTCACTGACACACACACTAACACAAGAGAAACGGCTATGTTTCACTGAGGGTTAATCCAGCCTCTGGTGGCTGTCTCATTGACAGCTGCTAGAGGAGCTTCCGCGATTCTCACTGTGAAAATCACAGTGAGAAGACACTGAACGTCCATAGGAAAGCATTGAGTAATGCTTTCCTATGGGCGGTTTAAATGCGCACGCGCCTCTTGCCGCGCATGTGCATTTCGGAGCTGAGAGGTGGACACTGGGGAGTCCGACGCTGGAGAAAGGTAAATGCTGAAGACACACACACTCTCACGAACAGACGCATACACACTAGCTAACAGACACACACATTTACTGACAGAGACACACTCAGCGACAGACATACATACGCACTCACTTACAAAACATACACTTTCACTGACAAACACACACTCACTAACAGACATCAAACACACTCAGTAACAGACACACACAGTAACACACTCACTAGCAGACACACACCCAATAACAGACACATTCACTGACACACACACACTAACACAAACACTGACACACACTAACACAAACAAACACTGACACACACACATACACACTAACACACACATACACTAACACACACACACATACACTAACACACACACACATACACTAACACACACACACACATACACTAACACACACTAACACACACACTTTTTTTTTTTCAAATTTAATCCCCCCAGCCTCCTTACCTTTCGGAGTGTTGGGGGTTTCCCTGGGGTCCAGTGGTGGTGCTGCTGGGCTCCTGGACAGCAGGTCACTGGGTGGGCAGGCTGTCTGGGCGGCGGGCGCGCGAGGGAGCACTTTCCCCTGTGTGCTTCTTCTATAGCTCCCTCGCGCGCCGCGTAGGGATGCCGGCGCCGGAAGATGACGTCATCTTCCGGCTCCGGCATCAGTGCGGTGCGCGAGGGAGCTGCAGAGGAAGCACTGAGTGCTCCCTCGCACGCCCGCCTGCCCGACCGGCCACCTGCCCGCTGGGGTCAGCAGGGCCAGCCTCGGGGGACCCTGGGGTGGCCGCCTCCTGGGCCCCCCAGGGGAAGAGGCTGTCCCTGTGGGTACATACTGGGTCGCAGGGGCGGCCGGGCCCCCTGGTGGGCCGGGCCCAGTCGCAACCGCGACCCCTGCGACCCTGGTATGTACGCCACTGGTGTATGTCAGTCTATGTGTATCTGAATGTGTGTCTGTCAGTAAGTTTCCATTTGTCTATCAGTGAAAGTGTGTGTTTGTTAAACCAAGAGTGTATGTCAGTGAATATGTATCAGTGAGTGCGTGTGTCTGTCAGTGAAAGTGTGTGTTGGTTAAACAGCGTGTGTGCCATGTCAGTGAGTGTATGTCAGTGTATGTATATAATTGAGAGTGTAAGGGGGTTACCTTCTCTGATTCATGCTCCGGAGTGCTAGTTATACACCCTGACTACAGTTTTGTAGAAACTGCTATATTTACATTGCAGAGTTGAACAGATATCCAGTGGCTGTCTTCACTGTGAGAAATGAATCAACCTGAGTTATCAATCAAATGCTGCTTTTGTAGCAGCTTTTGACTGACTCAGCGCATGTACACAAGCCTCGCAATGGTTCACTATGGGGAGGCATTGGATTGGCTGAGAACATCAAGACTGATGAGCTCATCCATGGAGGTAGGGCAGCTGTGGTTAGAGCACCTTTGTGATAAAAAGGTACGTAAACTTACTTTTTTACTTCACTCTGAGGGAGAGGAATACAGTAATCCTAAAGGACAACTGTCACCATTTTTAATAACCATATTTAAAAGAATAATTATTTCACCAAGTTTTGAAAGGAAATAGATTGCTTTTAAAATGAAGTATATGTAAAAATGAAAAAAAAAAAAAACTTTAGTATATGAAAGTTTAATTTAGCCATACACATGCACCTTGGGTCAGACAGTGTTTGAAAAAAGACAATTAGGGGTAGCCCTACATTGAGGGGACAACCTGACCTGACCACTGCTGTGGCCTGGGTGGACCCGGGGGGGGGCGGGGTTTGGGCTCCGTCCCTTGCCTCGGCCCTCCTGGCTGACCCAGCTCTGTGCTGAACACAACTCCCTCACCCTCTTTCCTATCCCCTCTTACTCCTATCCCCTTCCTTCTTCTTTCTCTCTTCAGACAGGTCTTCACCTGACCAATAAAATAATTGAGGGGTGGACATCATACAGATAACTTAAGAACCCCGATGACAGCAGGTGGACACATGGAACTAGGGACTGCAGGTGGTTTACCACAGACGAGGCTGGGGCTCCCCAGCCACATTCGATGGCTAGCAACCTACATGCACTTGGCCCCAAACAGGCTCCCACCCACCGTAACATTTTGCTTAAGTACTTCCTCCTCCATTAATCACTGTATATTTGCAGAGTACCTAGCGGAACCTATGTCTCAACAATGTTGCCAATTCTGATTCTACCATGGTCAAACTACTGCTTATGTTTCTGCATACCACTGTATATGTCACTGTCTACCACTCAAACACAAATAAAGAATGTAAAAAAAAACAAAAAAAAAAACAGACAATTAGTCTCCATGACCTTCACTGCTTTGGTTTTCAAACACTGTCTGACTCAAGGTGTATGTATATGGCTAAAGGATCCTGTCATATACTATAAGTAGGGGCGAGTTTTTCTTATTTTCTTTTCTTTTTGCATATACCTCTTAAAAAAATAAATTTTCTTCCAAAACTTGAAGAAAGGGTTATTATATAACAGATGGCAGGTCACTACAGTGTTAGGAATGCATGTTTATATTACTAACAATCTCTGTAATGGAAGTGTATGTGACAACAACATATGATTTGGAATAATTCTTTAACTCAGCTATAGTCACAGCCAGACTATTTTTGCCTAATTTTGCAATTCATTTTTAAGTAAAAAAACAGCAGGTTTAAGTCCACCTCTTGTGGCTGTCAGTATGACATTCACTAGTGGCCCTTCTGCGGCACAGAATGAGTAAAACTTATTCACATGATGTGGAATGCCCATAGGAAAGAATTGATTCAAGTTTAAAGGGACACTATAGCCACCAGAACAACTACAGCTTATTGAATTTGTTCTGGTGAGTAGAATCATTACCTTCAGGCTTTTTGCTGTAAACACTGTCTTTTCAGAGAAAATGCAGTGTTTACATTACAGCCTAGTGATGACTTCACTGGCCACTCCTTAGTTGGCTGTTAGGGATCCTTCCTGGGTCATGGCTGCCTCAAATGCATCCAAACATTCAGTATCTCCTCCCTCTGCATGTAAACACTGAACTTTCCTCATAGAGATTAATTGATTCAATTCATCTCTATGAGGAGATGTTGGTTGGCCAGGGCTGTGTTTGAATCATGCTGGCTCTGCCCCTGATCTGCCTCCTTGTCAGTCTCGGCCAAACCTATGGGGAAGCACTGTGATTGGATCAGGCTACCACTTCTGATGATGTCAGTAGACCTATTGTTTTTCTGAGTCTAACAGCATTCAGAGTTACAGCTTCAGGCTTGAATACAGTAAGCTTTTGCTATATTTATGGAGGCATGAGGGGCCCAGGGGGAATAGAGAGTGGTTTTAACACTATAGGGTCAGGAATACATGTTTGTGTTCCTGACCCTATAGTGATCCTTTAAATGCACACTGTGCTTGCCACACATCCACATTAGGTCTCCAGTGGTCCCATTTTTTTTTTATGTTTGGAAGAGCAGATTCGTAACGCTATGGTGTTCCTTTTATATTTTGTTATCTTTATATGTTAATGGTGTAATATTATAAGTAGAAACAATGAAGTAAAATGAAATTTTTAACATTTGCTAGTAATTTTACTGGGAAGTTATAGTGGCTTTAACTATATTTGGAGCAATGTGTTATACATATGAAGTGCAATTTTTGGCACTAGTTTAAAAAAAAGACACAATGGGAGTTATGTATAATAATTGTTGCATTCACTTTTACATTTATACCAGTTTTGTGCTAATGTGCCATTGTCGTATGTATAAAGCTGTTACTCAATCTTTATACATTCATGACTTCTTTTTCTCTCTTTTCTGTACTGCTCCAAAGTCATCCATCTCAATCCTGATACTTTTTACTCTTTTGAGTTTTTTGCTCCTTTCTTATCATTTTAGCATTGATTGTATTCACAGAATAGTAACATAATTAAGGAAAAAAGACACATTCACAATTTGACAGTTATATTTATTCTTTAAACTATACTATTGTCACCAAAACCACTTTAGCATAAAAGTAGGTCTGCATAAACAAAGTGATTTTACAGAAAATGAATGTGAGACTGTAGGGGCCTGATCTATACACCAAAAGTGCAAAACTTATACGTATAGATCTAACCCCTACAGTCTCACATTTATTTTCTGTAAAATCACTTTGTTAATGCAGACCTACCTACCTGCAAGTAACACGCACAGCACTTGTTAAGTGAGATCTAATGTTTACACTTCCTTTCTTTCAAATTCTATTAATTTTAGAATTTCATATCTCCTGCTCTGTTAATAGCTCGCTAGACCATCTTGGTAATTGAAGTTCAATTTAAAGAGCAGGAGATAACTACTTTTATTTTTATTTTTTATTCTTTATTTTAAGTTGCCATCAGACAGAGATCAATACAAGAGGCACATTGCATACATTACAAAATCATAACGATCGACTTTCCAGTAAAGTGTACAATGTGTTAAATCAAATTAAGCTGCAGTGTCCTGTCAGATTCTCAGATATGCAGTATGAATGGCTATGAATCCGACAACAAGATTTTTATTATCATAGAGAAACATAATTTAACAGTAGTAATTCTGTTTACTGGGCAAGGGGGCATTATTGCTTTCTTCTACCAGGCCCCGCCTCCCCTATTCCCCTCTCTCCTTCACTCTCAAGGGCACCTGAAGCTGATGACGTCCCCCTTAAGTTGCTCCACTGGTTGAGCGGACCTCAGTGGGCCACAGGGCCCCCCATAAAATCTCTAGGTGGCTCGATCACTTGTGGAAAAGACAAATTATATGTTATCTTTATAGTCATGCCACGGTTCCCATATCTTATGAAACGAGGAAAGGGAGTTATGTAGTGTTGCTGTTAGTGGATGCATTAAGTGGTTTTCCTCTATCTTGGCCCTAACCTCTCCAATAGATGGATGGGATTGTTGCAGCCAGTGAGCTGCCAAGACTCACCTAGCTGAAAAAGTAATTTTATTACATAGTTTATTTTGCTACTACCTTGCTATCCTTCAGGAGCGAGTTATTCAGACGCCATGTCCTTTGCGTTGGAGTCAGAAATCGTCTTAAAGAGAGATGAATATCTCCATGGTCCGACCAGGATATGGACCGAATGTCCACTGCCTGGACCACTGGAACAGTTTTCCGCGAGACTAAGAAAAGGTCGATGCGGGAATATGTCTCATGTAGGTCCGAATAGAATGTGTAGTTGCATTCCCCTGGGTGGTGCACCCTCCATACATCTACGAGTTCACATTCCTCCATAAAGTTCCTAAGGAGTCTGTCATTAGAAGGAAGGAGACATCCAGCCTGCACAGGTGACCCGAGCTGACCAGGTAATGGAGATAATGTAAAAACCAAAGAAAATAAAAAGTTACCTGCACTCTCTCCTTAATCCCTATGTATATTTAGACAAATGGAGGTCATTTAGTTGCTCCAATGGCCAGTGGAGGGAATGCCCACCTGCCAACCTCAAGGCAGAACCCCCCTAAAGCGGGTCCTAACACTGACCCTTCAGCCTGCTTCATTGAGCTTCTGGCAAAGATATCTCTAATGAGCCAGAGGGGTATTTTTTTATATATAACCCTATATACTTATTAACCCTTAATAGGGAACACATGGGATGGGCGGCAGCATTGTAACAAGGCTATGTGATACAAAGTAAATACAAATACAAAAAGATAAGTCCTGCGCTCACTCCCATCACTACTGGGCCGGCAGCAATGACTACAGTACACATCAGCCCCGATATATAGTAAAAACCAAAGAAAAGAAAAAGTTACCTGCGCTCTCTAGAGCCTTACCTGCTGCCGGCCCAGTAATGGTGATAATGGGCATAGCAGAGCAGAGGAGGGAGGTGGCTCGACAGTTAATGGGGCCTGAACTGCACTGCTCTATTAGTTCATTATAGGTTGTTTTTTTGTGTTAGTATTCTTTATGATTGGTAGGAGATTTTCTACCAGCCCGGGCACCAACCCATAAAACAGGGACCCAAGCCCCCACCCGTCGATAGGGCACGCGGCCCATAGCGGGAAGCCTGAACACTGGATGCCCCCCTTCCAGGGTGGGGATGTCACGGGGGGGGGGGAGCTCTGGTGTTCTGGCTTCCTGCTATGGACCAGGTGCTCTATCAATGGGTGGAGGCACCGGCAAACCCACCCGAGACTGCCCCCAGCCATCTTTCATACCAGAGACCTCACCCATCCAACAAACCCCAAAGTAGAAGCACAGCAAGGCATCTGGGCACCCGTGGGCCTGCAGAAAGGCACCACCCAAGTCGGTCTCTTGTACCCTTCCCAAAACAAACCTAGCCCCTGCCAAGGAATCTTCTCTCGGCCCCCCCGCTTCAGTAATTGTCTCACACCACAGTGTCTTCTCATTCTCTTTGCATATACTGTCTGTATCTCAAGTTTTGTATGTACAGAGTTATTCGTACCTGCTGTATCCCCCCCTCTTCACCCACACATCCTTTCCCCAAAAGGAGGATAATCATAACTCCCACTCGGGACTCCGACAAGATTCCCATGCCTCCGCCATCCCTGCAGCACCCCCAAAACGGGCTGAGGACCACCAGAGGCCACCCCAGCCCACATCAGCTCCCCACCGCCCAACCAACAGTATCCTAGCCACCTTTCTGCCGCTCGGCTCGTGGTGTACTTTGCAGATAACTTTTAAAATAAGTAACATCTAATTAAATATGAAACCATTTTGTTTTCAAGCAGGCTGTGTCACTCACAGTCAGCGGTGCTGTGGCTAAGACTGCATGAACAGATACAAACAAAAGTGATTTAACTCTCAAATTACAGAGAGACTGCAGGGGCATGATCTATCAAAGTGTTATGAAAAATGTAAGAACAGAAGTGATTTTGTTTTTGGTCTCATATCTAAATGTATGTATAAAATTTTTTAACAATTATCCATGTCAGTTTTTCTCTTTCTAAATTCCTTTTCAGAAATATCCATTTCAGAAAAGACTGACAAATTTAGAATGGCCAAAAACAGAGTAAAACTATACACTCGTTTTTGGAACAGGTGACATATGGATTGATAAATCTGTTGCATTGCAGAAACATAGCATACATTCAAAAATAAGGGTTAGGGAGCAAAAGAATACATAAAAAATGATGCACACTAAATTAATAATCAAATTCAATCACTTTATTATACTATCAAAAAATATATTATAACAAACAACTGTAATACTAAAATACACCATAGGCAACAAGTCAAACAGTTACATAGATCCCCAAAGGTCTGGACCACTAACCCACCCCCCCATACCCCGTAACATTTCAGCACCAGTGACTTTTTTAAAGGAACGCCCACTCTATGTTTAATTTGATAGTGTAATTTGCAGAGACGTGATTCTTTCCAATGGTAATTTACTACCTTAAAGGAGCAATATGTGCAACGTTATAATTATTGTAGATATACTTTAACAAAACTCCTTTTTTCCATGTTCAAGTGCATCATTAGGGCTGTATAAATAAAAATAAAAAAATTATAATTATAATTTATTGTGAAGAAAATCTGGTATATTCTGACTCAACCGCAACCCATTGTATCTTACATTTTAAGTTTAATATTTAATAGCTATGGATTTATTTAAGTGACTCAGAGATGTAACATATGATGTAAAATAATCTGTTTATAGTTTCTGCTGTGACATAAAGTGCATTAAATGTTCAGCTCATATTTCAAACTCGCATGAGACAATTACAAACCATAACAGGAACAATAGGTTGAGAGAACCCTGCTCGAAAGAACTTACAATCTTACCTCTTCTGCCCTTTTACTCTTGATCTGTAGGACAAGTAGTCACAGAATGTATTCTGACTTCTTCAAGTCTTTCATGCTATTGTTATGTTGTGTGCCCACTCATTTCACTTTTAAATCACAGCATCAATGGGAATGCATGGGCTCAATACTTGTTTTCTCACTGAACAGAATAATTGACTGGGAAGGGGTGTAATTTACGTTAGCAATGTCCCTGGTTTGCCTAAAAATCATAGAGATATATTTTAAAATCATCTACTGGATTTAATAAACAGGTCTTCAAAGAGATGTTTAAATTGGCCTTCATTATATTTTTGTATTTTTTTTTATCCCCTTTGAAACTTTTCTACTCTATCTTCAAAATTAAAACTTCAATTCCCCGTATTAATTCCACTGACTATATCTGCACTTTTTCTAGTTGCATAATGTCTGTGAAAGATTAATGTAGTATTAACACAGTATATCAGTATAGTGCTCCTTGCAACAAATCTCTATGTGTCTTCAACTTTGTGTGATAAAGCTAAGAGTCGGTCTTTTAGCACTTTACAGTCAAGGCTGTGAAATTCCCACTGTTGATTTTGTTGCCTGATAAAATAGCTGTAAATGGGGTGCTTTCTGACAGTCACAGAGAAGTGCAGCAGATGTTATTTTGTAGTAATTATGATGTATGATATATCACAATGCACAGAGCACTCAAATTCTAATTAGCAATTATCAAAATGTTGTCTTTTTTTTTTCATTTATACATGTATGTAAAATGTAACTTCATAATTGATGGAAAAAATGTGGCACAAGCACATCGTGTTTCTTGAATCCTACCTGCATACTGCCCAAACCTACTTACTGGAGATATATTTACAATAAAGGGATACTATAATGCCAGGAATACAAAGCTGTATTCCTGGCTCTAAAGCACCTCTCCCTGTCGTCGTCGTCCCCCCCTTCCCTCCTACCCCGTCACGATGAATAAAGGATTAAAAACCATTTATTTACTTATCTGATCCCAGCTCCGATGACCCTTGCGTGTATTAGGCCTCGCCACAGTACCTGGTCGTTGAACGCCTGGAAATATTATCGGCCTTGCGTCTCTGCGAACCCGGGCAAAGTTCGTACCACTGCCCTTTCAACTTCCTGACCATCTTGACGAATGACGTTCGGGAGATATGATCTACCGAACAGGGGGAGCATTAGCTCCATAGCAGCCAGGGGGAGTGTTCATCGGTGTTCGCACAGGAACCCCCGAAAGTGACCGGCCATCTTGTCCAATCTTCTGGAACTTTTTGGGCAATCCCCTCATGGCTGGTCATTCAAAACTTTATTCGAACATAACAAACTCCACCAAACCGATCTGAGTGCTTTTCGGATAGGTTGTGCACTCATGTATTTTTGGGGTATGTTAAAAATGTATGAAAGTTTCTGTATTTGAGATATAATGGAATTATCTTAAATTGAGCTCAATTATCTCTCAAACACAAAGGCTCTTGGGAAATAAACCCTTGTGTTCTTGATCTGGAAACCCCATGCTAGGGGCAATGCATAAAACCTGTGTGGGGCAGAATAAAGTCAGTTGTACTCCCAGAACTGTGTGTCGTCCAGTTTCTGGGGAGGAGGTGGGCTATTTACTTGGCATTTTCTTGTTCCTGATTCTACTCTTGGCGATCCAGCACAGAAAAGTCCCTGCTAGGATTATGGCTCTGCTACACCCAGGATATAGGATAATGCATTTAAATTTTGCAGTGCTAGCTAGTTTTAAGAGAAAAACAGAAACATCTGGCTTTTACCTTGTAGATTTTAAATGGGGTAAACATAAAAGAAGGAAAAATAAAAATATATTTTCTAAGTCATATATTATCCAAGCATGTCATAATATATGTTAAATGTGATCTGTCACACATTTTTTCATTGCTATTGACAATATACAGGAGTAAAGGGTTGCATTCAGTCATTCATATTAAAATAGATTGATGCTTGGAAATAAAGGACAGACAGATGGTAACTTAAATGACAGCACTCACTGATTTAGGGTACAAGAGCTGATATTTAAGGTCAATTGAATGTCTTTAGAGTGGCTTCTTGCAGAGGATAAAGTGATAATCATAACTTCTACTAGACTATGGTGGTATACAGCTTATACACGCGTGAATGTCAGGGGAGTGTTGCTAGGAAAATGCCAGATGTTTAGGAATTCACGTTCATTTGGGAATACGTATCACTGAATGGAGTGACTGAAAATGCATAAGTCCAAGAATGAAAGTGTATAATGATAAATTAGCCTGCCAATGTTACTAAGAAGCCATGTACTTACCAGCAGCATTTTCAGTGTGATGTAAACAAAAGGTAGGCATTGATACAAAGAAGCCTGAGATACAGTGTGACCTTATTTAGCTCAATGACTAAAGCAGCACAGTTTGGCAAGCAATAACATTTGGATTTGTTTAATGCCCAGTGAACATGATCCCTAAACTCTCATAACCTGAAGTAAAACCACTACTATGGGTCAGCTGGGTGAGATACATGCATAACAGCTATAATATAGCACCAGTCTTATCACAGAAGCTAAAACAAAAATGTATCCTCCAAGGCTGTACTAGAGAATAAATACAGACTGGCATCTATATTATGCTAACCGTAGCTACGAGTGTTTAAAAAACAAAAATAATATTTTAATTAAAGCAGTCACACCCCGAAAAGACAAGGCCCTTAAATGAGGATGAGAAGGAAAAATGAAGACTCCTGTATCATACAGGAACAGAATCAGGTCTAGATTACTAGTGTTAGCCGTACAAATAGTACCTTAATCAGACTGTGTTAAATTGACTGTACACCAGGAAATTGAATTCTGCTGTTTCAAAAGGTTGTTGCATAAAAGGGTTTTGTATAGCGCAGATGTTATTCTAACAATACCATGTAGATGTTCTATTTCTAGTGCACAATATCTATCTAATTATCCCTCCATTCATCCATTTATATGTGTAGTTTAGTGGTTTTGTAATATTTTATTGCAAACCGGTAGAGCTATGTTTCGGTCTCAGCCAGGAATTGAGCATGGGGCACTCATCTTTTACAATGACCAGGAAAGAGACAGAATTACAAACTCCTTGTTCAGCAACAGGGATATAGGGTTTATAATAAATGTGTTTTTTGTCCATTAGCTGCAGGGGAAGGACTGAAAATATCAATGTAGGCATTATCAGGCCCCTGTAATAACCACCGTAGGTGGGTATCAAATATATCCGTATTCAACACCAGATGCGACTGAGGTGTTGGTCCATTCCACTGTCCTTTCTCGCCTTGACTACTGTAATCCGCTTCTCAGTGGTCTTACGTGCTCCCAACTTGCGCCGTTATAGTCCATAATGAATGCGGTGGCGAGGCTCATCTTCCTGTCCGCCCGCACCTCCCATGCCTCACCCTTTTGTCAGTCCCTACATTGGCTTCCTATAAAATATAGAGCTCAATTTAAAATTCTGGTTCTTGCTTTCCAATCTCTACATAATGGTGCTCCCACCTATCTATCCTCCCTTATACACAAGTATGTCCCGTCTAGACGCTTACGATCTGCTAAGACTTACGTCTATCTTCTGTCCGTACTCCAAACTCTGATGCTCGCCTCCAAGATTTCTCGAGGGCTGCACCGTTCCTGTGGAACTCGCTTCCCTCCTCCGTTAGATGCTCACCCAGTCTCCACTCCTTCAAAAAATCGTTAAAAACCCACTTCTTCATAAAAGCGTATCAATTAAATTTTAATAGCTCCTGCCTGATTCCTCTTCTGCAACTATCACTAGTCTAATACTATCCTTACCTTTTTGTGTCACTTTACCCCACTCCCTCTAGCATGTAAAGCTCATTGAGCTGGGCCCTCAACCCCTGTGTTCCTGTGTGTCCAACTTGTCTGGTTACAACTACATGTCTGTTCGTCCACCCATTGTAAAGCGCTGCGGAATTTGACGGCCCTCTATAAATATCATAATAATAATAATAATAATTACAGCTGTTTTTATATTAAACATTAAAACAATATTTGGTTTTGACCCTTTCACTGGGGCATGTTTCAGCAACATATACTTTAAAATATTGTAAGAATAATCCACTTTAGTTTTTTTATATTTATGTTCATATGATAATTTATATGGTACCAATGGCTTTCACATGATGACATGAGACATTCTGTTACTTTACATGTTATAATCACATATTATTCAGATACTCATGTATTTAATTATAAATGAGTAATAAATAAAAGGTGTATTGGCATTACTTATATAATATTGTGCTGATTGCTCTTATTGCAGCTTGCAAGGATGAGTGCGTGTGCTGACATCTGTGGGTCCAAGCAGTCTCAGAACACCCCTGAAGGAGGATATCATCGCTATGGAGTTCGGTCCTATCTACACCAGTTTTATGAGGATTGCACAGCTTCAATCTGGGAATATGACGATGATTTTCAGATCCAGAGATCACCTAGTAGGTGGAGCTCTGCTTTCTGGAAGGTACATAATCAAATCTCATAACTCAAACATTGTTAGAGTTTAATGACACTGATAGGGTAATTTAATTTTTGTTGTCTGCTGTAATAAAAAAGGGAAATCCATCTATTTGCCCAAGGCCAAAACAAGCCATCATCATTTGTAGTTTTTTTTTCTGAGTTCATACATTCAGGCCTGTTTACAGTTAACACTTCCCTGCCTAGCATCCACCCCAATCCCTAATGCAGTTATATTATAGGCAGACATTGGACAATATGTGATTGATGTTTCAGTCCTAACAATGAGCTTTTCTCAAAAATGGTAAAATGAAAGAGAGGTTATGCAACATAATTTCACCAGAGACATAAGTAAAGGAAAATACATATATAAACAAAATCACAACAAGGCTGTAAACCGAACTGTTGGCTAAATTCAGGTCAGATAATAAAATCAGTCACAGATAAATGGAAAACACAAATCATTAGAAGTAAATATGTGAATAATGAAAAACCTTGACTAGTGAGCCATATTACAGTGAGTGGGGCAGAGTCATGGTAACCAGGAGATACGGATAAAGAACATGCAGATAATGAGTGCCTCCAAAGAGCTTTTGGTGAAAAGCATAATGGAGTGATAGTAATTCATCGATTACACAATAGTATTACATACTTACTGTAATTTTATTTTCCTGGCTATTTTACAAGGTAGCAACACTTATGGGTACCTGTGGGTAACTCCTCCCTAGTTTAGACAACATTAATGAGTAATTAAACAATTAAGAACTGATAAAAGCCCTCTCTCTTCTGAGCAACACAGTCTAACAAGTTCTACAAAAAAATAACCCAGAAGGCAGCGCGGTGCTTCCATGTAAAATTGCCAGGAAAAGAAAATGATGGTAAGTATGTGATATATTTTCTGCTTCCCTGGCTAAATATGGCAGCATCACTTATGGGAACTATCCAAGTTCCACAGAGAGGGTGGGAAATCAAAACAAGAGAGACTTTAATAATGAAAATGGAAAACAATCTTTAGTTTAGTTGCATAAATCCACCAAAGCCAAAACACTTATTTCAAATTGAGAGGTCAAGTTTATAGTACTTCACAAATGTGAGGTGCGAATACCTGGTGGCTTCCTTACATATCTCCTCCACTGGAACCTGCTATGTAGAATCCCAGGAAGTTGCCAAGCCTCTTGTGGAATGAGCTTAATGTTATGTGGTGCAGGTTGGCCCTGTAAAGAATAGGCTTTGCTAATAGTCAATGAAATCCATCATCGGAACTTTTTGAAGACAGCTCACAACATCCAGTTTACTTGAGAAAAATACTTCTGGAGACTTTGGATTGGGAAAAATCTAAAGACAACACTTTTTTCTGTTGAAGATTGAACTTAGAGATCACTTTAGGCACCAGCACTACTCGATCCTAATGGATCGACAAAGCTTGTAATTCATTTGAAAAGTTTATAAAATCATGGCCTATATTATAGATTTACATAAACTTACTTAAACCTTATTTAGTATTGTTGGATAAGCTTTTCAAATTATTTAATATTTTTGGATAAACTTTTAAAATATTTTTCATAGTATTAAATAATTTTTAAAGTTTTTCCAAAACTGTGAAATAATTTGAAAGACTTAATCCGTCAATATTAACCCCTTAACGCCGTTACGGCGTTCTATGCTGTCCCGCATTAAATGGGCTTTAAAGCCGTTGCGGCGGCATAGAACGCCGTAACGGCTTTGAGCCCTGGAGCCGCTGGGATACTTACCTTCCCGGCGCTCTGCTTCTGGAGGACTGCCTCACAGCCCAGGCAGCCCTCCCATGCCAAATCAGGCCCCCGGGGGCCATGTGATCGCTCACATGGCCCCCTATAGCTGGCTGTGGATCTGCCAGCAGGGGGACTGTCTGGAGTGTCAGACAGTCCCCCTGCTGGTGGGAGGTGTAAAAAAACAATTAATTAAACATGTTAAAATAAAATAAAAGCATTTATATATATATACACATATATATATATATATATATATATATATATATATATATATATATAAAATATATATATTATATATCTAATTTCCTGGCCATATCCATGGCAGCACAACAATGGGTAGCTCCTCCCCTATCCCTAGTTAGACAGGAACTAATTAAAATAAGGGTACAAATACCCCCTCCTACCTCCTCCTCCCTCAGTCTTTTTGTTCCTGTCCTATCCCTATAGGACCAAATTAGTCTATTTTCAGGACTATAATCACTTTTTCTTTTATGGCTTACCTGAGGGTTTTTACCTTCTGCCCCCAAGGAAGTTCAGCCTCTCTTCCTTGGGAAGCTTCAGTATCCGGCCCTGTGCAAAGGTGTCCCCCTGAAGATACCCCCTTAGTGACCGGGGGTTCTACTTGCAGTGACCCTAGGGGTAGCAAGAGAAAAAAATGCCAAACAATTCTGATTCCCTGCAGTGACCAAGAGGTAGCAGGAAGTGGCGAGAAGACCTTATTCTGGATGGATTTCTTCATATTGAAGTACACCCCACATGTATGTATGTACAAATACTTTCTGCATATATTCTGTATTTGTTAAATAACATATGTGTGGGTTTCCCCCCCTACCTATGATTTCTTTGTACCTTGCTTCTATAACTTTAACACTTGTCTTCTCGGCGTCCTGTTCCCCCTAGGGCGCATGTGCGCCGTTTTCGCGCGTGCTCGCTTGTTCGCGGGCACGCTAGCTTCGCGTGCACGCTAGTTTCGTGTGCACGCTATGTCCACGCGCGCGCCTAAGTCGGCGCCTGGGTTCCGGCTGCCGTGAGGGTGCCTCCTGCTAGGAGGTTGCTTCCGGGTTTGGGCCGCGCATGCGCAGTTAGCGAGCGGTGAATTCGCTCGTTCTGAGCATGCGCGGATAGGCGGTGACGTCACACGCCTATTTAAGCGCCAAAAGTGTATAAAGAGTTTACCTGAGGTTCTCATTAGGTCTTTAGAGGACCTGTTGTCATACAATTTTCTACTTTGAATAGTATTTCTTTTGCAAGAAATATTTGAAGGTAAGTTTTACTTCTTAAAGGTATATACACATTGTTTTTTTCCATTTTTTCATTTCTTCTTCTTCCTTTCTTTCTATACTAATTAAATTACTTTTCTAGACTGTTCGTAATCATCTCCACAATGGAGAAAGACAAAAGGAGATCAATTTCTTCTGATTCGGACTCTTCTGGATATAAAAATAGGTCACACTCTAGGAGTTATAGGTAAGCCATATCATATCATTATTTTTTCTTCTGGAATATAGGATACATAAAGTAAAAGAGTGCTAATATGAGATATTTCCCTATCATGATAGTTCTACGGGAAAGAAAACAGTGAGATCATCCAAAGGAAAATCTCCAAAGAAAAATCAATGCAAAGCCTGTAATAATAATAAACGGTTAATAAACGGTTATGTGCAGAATGTTTATCTGAAGCGGCTGGAACATCTAATCCTTCAATGGAATTTGTACAGTTCATAAAACAAGCGGTGGCTCAAGGTATCAAAGAAGCGGGGGCAAGTCACAAAAGACCCCGGTTACATGAACCTTTAGATTACCAACATAATGATTCGTCAGATGAATCCATGGATATGGAATCATACCAGGGGAATTTCTTATCTTCAGACGAAGAAGAAACTCAGGCCCCTGCAGATTTTCTAGAACCTGCTCAGATAGACCACCTCATTTACAAAGTCCGTAAATCTTTGAGCTTGAAGGAAGCAGTTGCAGAACAGTCAACCTCTTATCGTTATTTCTCAGACTTCAGAAAGAAAAGAGCAACCTTTCCAGTGCATGATACTATTAAGGAATTAATTAAAGACGAGTGGTCTAATACAGATAAGAAACTTTCAGCACAAGGCAGAATATCTCGCCTCTATCCTTTTGACAAGTCTGATTCTTACCATTGGGATAATGCCCCTAAGGTGGATGCGGCAGTAGTTCGACTCGCAAAACATACCACATTACCAGTAGATGATGCAGGCTCATTTAGACACCCAATGGACAAAAAGATGGATCTGCATCTCTCAAAGGCTTATGTTGCAGCAGGGACTGGTTTTCACCCTGCTATAGCTCTTACTTCAGTGTCCAGGGCCCTAAAAATCTGGATCGAAAACTTGGAAGAAGATATCAGAGATGGGAGAAACAGATCTTCTCTTCTGGAAAGATTAAATGATATTAAACTGGCCGTTGACTTTACCTCAGAATCCTCGGTGGACATGGTGAAGGCCTTAGCAAGGAACATGGCTCTTTCAATTTCAGCTAGAAGAGCATTATGGCTGAGATCCTGGTCCGCAGATTCATCATCAAAGTCTAGTCTATGCGCCCTTCCTTTTTATGGTGAGATGTTGTTTGGTAAAAACCTAGACGAGGGCATCAAAAGAGCTGCAGAAGGTAAAAAAGCCTTTCTTCCACAAGACCGGAAAACCAGTGGATCCTTTCGAGCCAGAAGATACTCTGAATACCCCTCTTTTCGCGATACCAGATCTTATAAACCAGGAAGAGAATATGGAAGATCTATTCCATGGAGAGGTGGACATTCATCCAACAGAGGAGGAAAGTCTAGAGGTTCCTCATTTCACAAGAAGCCTTTATGACAATCCCACCTACCATTCTGGAGGAGTAGGTGCCCGTCTACTACTATTCCAGAATATGTGGAAACATTCAACTCAAGACAGATGGGTGCTGGATATCATACAAAGAGGTTATCTTATAGAATTCTCCACAAGGCCGCCACCTCGCTCCTTCCAGAAGACAATCTGGCCAAGAGATGTAGAAAAAAGAGATTCCCTAAAAAAGTTTATCTCATCCCTTCAAGACGATGGAGTTATCGTTCAAGTTCCAAGAGCTCAACGAACACATGGGTTTTACTCCCATATCTTTCTCACCAGAAAATCCACAGGGGGATGGAGACCAATATTAGATCTAAGCAGACTAAACAAGTTCCTAAACATAAGGAAATTCAAGATGGAGTCTCTTCAATCCATCGTAAAAGCAGTTTTTCCAGATCAATGGCTCATGTCAATAGACCTGGCAGATGCGTATTACCATATTCCCATAGCACCCCAGCATCAAAAATTCCTCAGATTCGCTGTGGAAGAGGGTCATTTTCAGTTCCGTGCTCTCCCTTTTGGGCTAAGCACTGCTCCACGTACTTTCTCAAAAGTTCTGGTGGTTCTCATCGCAGAACTCAGGAAGAAAGGCATTGCAGTATATCATTACCTCGACGACATCTTGATTCTGGCAGAAAACAGAGATATATTAGAAGATCACGGCCTGATATGTATACAGTATCTTCAACAACACGGATGGAAGATCAATTTCGCCAAAAGCAACCTAAAGCCATCCCAGAACATGATATATCTAGGAGCAGCATTCAACACTGCAGAAGGTTCCGTCCAACTATCCCCAGAAAGGGGTATGAAAATTCGGAAAAAAGTCAAAGACATGTTAGCATCCAGTGTTTCCTCAGCAGAGACAACTATGAGCCTCCTGGGATCAATGTCCTCCACCATAGGACTTACAAGATGGGCCCAATGGAGAATGAGGCCTTTCCAAAGGAATTTCCTTTCTCAATTCAAGGGCAATCTGTCTCAACCTATAATGATCCCTCCTCACGTACAAGAATCCCTGAAGTGGTGGACCCAGAAAGAGTCTCTCTTCAGAGGTTATCCCTTAGGAAACATTCCATGGATCATCATCACCACAGATGCCAGTCAATGGGGCTGGGGAGCCCACCTTCAATACAACTATGTTCAGGGGAAATGGGCATTTTCAACCTCCGACACCCCTTCGAATCTTCTAGAACTTCTGGCAGTTTTCAAGGCTCTAATGCACTTCCAGCAACTTTTACTTCACAAATGGGTCAAGATCAGGACAGACAATGCCACAGTTGTGGCATATATAAATCACCAAGGAGGGATGAGAAGTTGCAGAATGATGAAACTTATGAAACCTTTGATGTCCTGGGCTCAAATGAATTTGGAGAATATCTCTGCAATACATCTCCCAGGAACTCAGAACTCTGTGGCAGACTTTCTCAGCAGGGTGAGATTAGACCCGGGAGAATGGAGTCTATCAGACATAATATTTCTACAGATCGTAGAAAAATGGGGCCTTCCCCAGATAGATCTAATGGCTACAAGCAACAACAGAAAAGTCAAGAACTTCTTTTCGAGAATTCCAGATCCCCAAGCCATAGGAAGAGACGCATTGACATGCAGTTGGAACTTCGACCTGGCTTATGCCTTTCCTCCGAAGCCCCTCATCTTCCCTCTGCTAAGGAGACTACGACAAGAGAAGACATCACTGATTCTAATAGCCCCTTTTTGGCCTCGCAGACCTTGGTTCCCGCTCCTACTAAGTCTGTGCAAGAAGGATCCATGGCATCTTCCAGTTGTCCCATTCCTGCTACATCAGGGTCCAATTCATCATCCAAACCCAGCATCCCTTCGTCTGATGGCATGGTACTTGAAAGGGATGGGTTAAAGAACAAGGGGTTTTCAAGATCAGTAATCGAGACTCTTCTTCAAGCAAGGAAGAAGTCCACTTCATCCACGTACTACAGAATATGGGATGTATTTTCTTCATGGGCCAGTTCAAGGCCCTTTGATATTTTGAACCCTTCAACTACTGACATTCTTGATTTTTTACAATCAGGTCTAGAGAAGGGATTGAGTTATAACACTTTAAAAGTACATGTTTCAGCTCTCTCTGCTTTAACTAATCATAGATGGGCTCTGGATCCGGACATAGCTAGATTTCTGACTGCAGTCCTCAAGATCAAGCCACCCATTAAGTCTATTACTCCGCCATGGGATCTCCCTCTGGTCCTGAAGGCTCTTAAAGCAGATCCTTTTGAACCTATGGCATCAATTTCCTGTCATCTTCTCACGATCAAGACAGTTCTACTAGTAGCCCTAGCCTCTGGTAGAAGGGTTTCTGATCTTCAGGCTCTTTCGGCTCGAGAACCTGTTACGATATTTCATAAGGACAGAGTCATCCTGAGAACGGTTCCAGAATTCCGCCCTAAGGTTACTTCAGAGTTCCATATGAATGAAGAAATAATCCTTCCAGCATTAAGTACAGAAGAATCTAATAACGGGGAAAACGCTGATGATGATACTATCGACCTAGTAAGATGTCTTAAGATATATATACAAAGATCCTCAGAATGGCGTATTTCGGAAAGGCTTTTTGTTATTCCTAATGGCCCTAGGAAGGGTCTGCAAGCTTCGAAAGCCACTATCAGCAGATGGATAGTTTCGGCCATTATCCAATCTTATAGATCATCTAATACAAGTGTTCCTGAAGGTTTGAAAGCTCATTCTACACGTTCCCTTTCTTCATCCTGGGCAGCTGCAGCAAAGGTTTCTACAGAACTGATTTGCAAAGCAGCCACTTGGTCATCTTCTAATACATTTATTAGACATTATCGTTTAGATGTAAGAGCTGGCCAATACGATGGATTTGGCAGATCAGTTCTTTCTGCCTCAAAGGATTAACTACTATTCTTTTTGTTCATCACATTGAGTTGTTTGTGATAATACACTTGCATTATATAATAATGTGTCTGAGTTTTTCTTTCCCTCCCTTGGTTTTAGCTTGGGTATTACCCATTGTTGTGCTGCCATGGATATGGCCAGGAAAGAGATAAATTTACTCATACTTACCGTAATTTTCTTTTCCTGGTCATAGGCCATGGCAGCACAAAGGTCCCACCCAGGGATATTGCTGTTAACTAGACTGAGGGAGGAAGAGGTAGGAGGGGGTATTTGTACCCTTATTTTAATTAGTTCCTGTCTAACTAGGGATAGGGGAGGAGCTACCCATTGTTGTGCTGCCATGGCCTATGACCAGGAAAAGAAAATTACGGTAAGTATGAGTAAATTTATCTCTATATATACATCTTATATATATGTAACGTGATACTTAATGTATTTTCATGTTAATATAAGCACATATATTAATCTTAAAATACACTTAGAATGACGTTACATATATACAAGATAGATATATATATTGTATATATTATACATATATATATATATTGTTTATATATATATATATATGTATAATTACAATAGTAAATAAGTAAAATAATAAAATAAATTAATAAAATATTTAAAACAAATTTAAATAAATTATATGTACACTTAGAATGACATTCTATATCTATCTATCTATATAAAAAATACAAAGAACTGCAAATATTTATATATAGATAAATATATATACTTACATAAATAACTACATAAGTATACATGTAGAATTTAAATACATATATATGTATATATATAAAACTTCTACGTGTATGCTTAAGTAATATTTTAACATAATTATGTGATTTACTTAATTAAAATTTGATTGACGTGCCTGACAACCAAAGCAGCAAGTGCAGAGAATTGAATTTGCACGCGCTATATTTAACCCTGTAACTCTCCAAGACACCATAAAACCTGTACATGGGGGGTACTGTTTTACTCGGGAGACTTCGCTGAACACAAATATTAGTGTTTCAAAATGATACATTGTATTACAACAATGATATATTTAGTAAAAGTGACATTTTATGCATTTTTCACACACGAACGGCACTTTTACTGACAATACTATTGTTGTAATATGTTTTACTGTTTTGAAACACTTATCTCTATGTTCAGTGAAGTCTCCCAAGTATAACAGTACCCCCTATCTACATGTTTTATGGTGTTTTGGAAAGTTAGAGAGTCAAATATAAGGCTTGCATTTCATTTTTTTCACATTGAAATTTGCCAGACTGGTTACGTTGCATTTGAGACCATATGGTAGCCCAGGAAAGAAAATTACCTCCATGATGGCAGACCATTTGAAAAAGTAGACAACCCAAGGTATTGCAAATGGGGTATATCCAGTCATTTTTTAGTAGCACTTAGTCACAAACACTGGCCAAATATTTGTTTTTTGCTTTTTTCACACAAAAACAAATATGAACACTAACTTTGGCCAATGTTTGTGACTAAGTGGCTACTATAAAACACTGGACATACCCCACTTGCAATACCTTGGGTTGTCTACTTTTGCAAATGGTATGCCATCATGGGGGTAAATCTAATTCCTGGGCTACCACACGGTCTCAAAGGTGACATTACTAATCTGGCAAATTTCAATGTGAAAAACCTGAAAAATGGAATGTGCTATATTTGATCCTTTAACTTTCCAAAACACCGTAATAACTGTTAATGGGGGGTACTGTTGTACTCGTGAGACTTTGCTGAATCAAAATATGTTGTTTTTTTTTTGCAGTTAAATCTAACGGTATTATGACATTTACAGCTAAAAAAATTTTTTTTACAAATCTTAATTTCTTACAGTTTTTTTAAATTTTATTAATAATAAATTATGTTTCAAATATGAATAGTTCATGAAAAATTAAAGCCCAGTTTCTCCTGACCAAAATGATATATAATAAGTGTGGGTGCACTTAATATGAATGAGGTGAATTACGGTTGAACAGACATATAGAGCAAATACCAGTTTTTGTTTACATTTTGTTTTGATCAGAACGTGTACTATTGACTCCGTCCTGAAGGGGTTAAATCTAGGTCTTTTGTTTCTTCATGTTGTGTATGTTTGCTCTTGCAATGCTCACAGCACAGCCAACCACAGCAATTGTCAAGAAAAAAAAAAGTATTTATATTTATGCTAACAATACAGCTATATTATACAGATAATGAATTTGAAATATATACATTAAAAAAAAAGTAACTTTCAGGATACTGTATTTGCAAATCCGCGATACAGATTGGGAAGTGATTCAAAACTCTAATTCTAACCTCTTGTTGCTCCAAATGAGAATGTGTAACCCTAGCATATCCCTGAAGGCATTTGTGGGTATGACATTTAGACATTGACACCAGTTTCATTCATGAAAACACATGAATGAAACTGCTACACAATTTTACAGAACAAACTAGTTATTTTAAAACCGTAAAAGAAGGTGTAGTGTCTGAAGTGTCCTTTGGGGAATGTATGTAATGACAAAAAAAGGAAATACAAAAAAGACTGATAGTGTAGTAAGTTAAAAATGTCTTGATAGAGTAAGGAAAATTAACATTTGTACACTCACACTTTTAGGGAGCTTAAATACAGCTCCAGCTTGCACGCCTGGGCAGAATGATCCCAGCCTATGGATATATTGTGGTACAGATTCTTCAAATTGTCCTAATAGTAATGGGTATCCTCATAAAAATATAAAAGACGAAGTAAAAGTAAATAGTGTAGTATGTTGAGCTTAAAAGCAGAGGTATGCATGTATATAAATGTGAGTGTACAAATTTAAAATTTCCTTACTCTGTCAAGACGTTTTTAACTTACTACAGTATCAGTCTTTTTTGTATTTCCTTTTTTTGTCATTACATACATTCCCTAAAGGACACTTCAGGTACTACACCTTCTTTTCCTGTTTTATCCTACCCCCTATCAGACGAGAGACTCTGTTTTAGTGATTAAGCTGCCTTTGGACTATATTAGTAAAGGCTATGGATTGGTTCGTTTGTAGAAACCAATGAGGGAGGGTTTTGGAAGACAAAGGACATTCTGCAGCTTATAACAACATTGAGGAATACGTAGTTCCTTATATTAGAATGGCTCAGTTATTATCCATCTAGAACAGAGTTCCCTTGTGAAACTTTAGTTTATCTCATTCTAATTTTATCATTTCATCTATTTGAGTATCTGCATCATCAGTGTGCACTTTCATTCATAGTATTCACTTCCTGTTACAGTTTCCTCAGTACCCTGTTTTTTAGAGTATGCTAACCATATTATCATATAACCATTTAACTTCGAATTCATATACTAACAAATAACATCTGTTTTCTATTTGTAAGCTTTGGTTACGATTAATTCACAATCACGTGGATTTAAGTCATACTATATGATAATTCCAATTAGAAATATTGCCACTGTCTCTACAAACTATGTTGCCACAGTTTTTTAATAGATACCAGTGTAATCTTGTTTTATTGTCGCCATACTCTGGCTATCAAATAGAAATGTCTGAAAGGTTAAGATAATTGTAATTGACTTATCATATTTATTTAATAGGTCGGACTCATATTAGGCATCATCCTCATGCTGACAGGTCTAGCAGTCCTTGCGGTTGGCTTCCTGGTACCTCCGAAAATCGAGGCTTTTGGAGAAGATGATTTTGTTGTTGTGGATAGCCATGCCATTCAGTTTAATGGAGCACTTGATATCTGTAAGTTATCTGGTGCTATTTTGTTCTGTATCGGAGGAACTACCATGGCGGCATGTCTCTTATTGTCTGCTTTTGCAAAGAGTTACTCCAAAGAAGAAAAATACCTTCAACAAAAATTTAAAGAGAGGATAGCAGACCTAAAAGCTCACGTCCACCCTGTGACAAAGGCCCCAACACCTGGAGAATCAAAGATACCGGTCACTCTGTCTAAAGTTCAGAATGTTCAGCCTTTATCTGAAACTTGACATTCAATCATTAGTGTGAAAAAAATTAAATTGAAAATGGTCAGCTTTTTTGAATGTTACAGTGAAAGTTTAATTTTGTAGTTCGGTCAAACTGTACCTGGTTGAGAAATATGTTGATAGGCCCACTATCAGCAAAATGTGAAAAGATCACAGGTTTTCGTCTGTTAATGTGGGCATTTTACTTTCCATAAATGGTAAAATTTCCCAAATCCGTACAGTTGGTTACTCACAATATGCTACTTAACAGCTACAGCAAAATGCTGTTTGTGTCGTGGTTTGGCTTTTTTTGCACTTGCATATGATTTATGTTTTCTTACAGATCTTAATTGAATGGGGAAATATTTTCAATGCTGTGTGCCAAGTATCTAGGATGGTTGACTCATATCTATTATGATATGCTTGACATATTGGCCTGACCACAGAAGCTTGAGAGTACATTCATTTTACAATTGTGTTGTTTAGTGCTTAGACCTAAGATTTATATCACTTCCTTATTATTTTAGCTTTCTTAGTCTTTGTTTATCTCAGTGTGTAATCGAAGCCTTTATTTCACAGTGCATTCCTTTGACACTTTTCAGTATCAATCATAAAATTGGTTTCTTGTTTAGTCTGTTCCTGCACAAACATTCTACAGCCAACATTAAAGGCAAATTTAAACCTCAAAGGAAAAATAAAAGAATTGAAGTAGAAACTAGGTTTTCACAATTACATCACAGCTTCACAATTTGCTGTCCGTGCTAATTTAATGACAAAAGTCAGTGTTTACATTTTTACACATACTCAAACGCTTACGGATGCAGAAGAAATTGGTACTTCATTAATGTCCATTATACCAGGGTTAATGGTAGTTGTTCTGTGATCTTTAAAAAGCAGTTCATCATCACATGGTATTGTGTTTCTTTGTAGAAAGGGGCGCAAGGAAAAATAAAATAAAAAACCTGCTAATGCATCCCTAATCAACGCAAGCAGAACATTAACTTTACATTTCTTATATTGAAAGAACATTTTATTGACATTTCTAGAGTTTTCTTGGAGCAAGATGACCCCTGTTACAATTGAAAAATAATAACACATTTTGCATTTATTCTGTCATCTGTAGAGTAGGTGAAAAAGCAAACTATCGTTTATTTTATTTTTTTACTTCAACACAAAAGCATTTCCAAATATCTAGTAACACAATTCGATGAGCGCCTAGTTCTCCAGCCATAATAGACATCTGTATTTCAGCTGTTGCGGACTAACACTAGCACTAGATCAATAATCTGGTTGAGATTCATAGGAATCGTGGTCCCCAGCTAATGGCATGCAGATGTCAGTTACCCCAAGTACATTTTATCAAGACTCCTAGAATGATTTTTTTGGAATTATGTTTATTCAGGGAAAATTAAAAGAGCAGAGCTTGTTTTTTGACTTTCATAAATTTACATTATTTATTTATAATACTTTCCACACTGACCAAAAGTCACCTGTATATTGACATATTTATCACTGCCAAAGTGCTCTTTAATAAATCCAATTACCAACTGATGGCAACTTTCATATATTTGCACATTTGTCACAATGCAGAGAAACCAGTATACATAACCATTTCACCAGCCTGTGCACAAATGTGTTGAAGATTGTAAGTCAACGTACTCTGCATTTCAGGTTCACTAGCTGGAAGGCAACTGTAGAATATAGTCTGGGAGCCCATAACAGGACAGTGGAGAAAAACGGCCTTGTAAGAAAATGTTTTACTCAGACCTGACAGCTCTCTTAACCAGCAATGGAAGTTAATATTTGGTGATATTCTATGTGTTTTCCATGGTTCTTTTAACTTATAAACAGTGTGAAAAGAGGGTTAAAAAAGCTGGGGAAAGTGGAAATGTTTTACAGATTGAATGCTGCAGTTTACCTACTCCTTTTCTGAAGACTTTTTAGGTGTCTGCCAAAATAGTCATATTTTCATAAATATCCAACGCTGCTATTTTGACTTACATTTTGCAACATATTTGTCAGAATGCTACAATGCAAGGTTAGTGAATTAAAAACCCATTCAAACCCAATGCAAAGCTTTAAAAATAATTTATCTGTAATTTTGCCATTTTATATTATTATTTTAGTTCCTCCTGGCTTCGCTATAGATATATATTTCTATTTTGTATGGTAATGCAGACAATCTGAGAAGTTACAAGGGATGTTGGCTCCATGACCAAGAAACAAAATGGATGCTTTGTTTAACAATTTCTTTATTTTTTGAATATCAATCCCTAGACATACAGCTCAATAAACATTTTAAAGTGGCACAGTATATTCTCCCCAACACTCCTGCTGGATTTCCTACTGACATATGTAGACGAATTCCCAAGGTGTCATTCAACGAATGTCATTCAACGAATGTCATCCACCGATAACTCCTGCTGTTGACAAAATGAATAAGACCCTACAAAGTGAAAATGGTTGTACACCACAAACTTTTCTTGCTAACTGGGTAACATTTAAGAATTAAGTACTTATTGCAGGATGCTACATGTAAAGTGTCACACCACAGAAATGTGTTTACATGATAAGTTGTTGCATTTCACCATTTTAATCATTGTAGTTTGATAGAGGATGTAATATCAAAATCCACACCTGTAATTTACAACCTTGTTAATGTTCTGCAGTAGCCTGTGTCTTTCAATTGCGTACACTGTCTAGAGCACAGTAAAACGTCTTCCCTTTAATGCCTGGATAAATTGTGTCTGGGAAGGGAAAGATGAATGTAATAACATGTTATCAGTTCTATTACTATGTTTCTCTCAGAGTACAGTAACAAGCCAAAAAAACACAGTTGTCTACATCGGAGATTTTGAGACAAAACCTATACAAATATGCAAATATGCAAAGCCAATATCTTGAATTATCCAGAAAACATGTTACCATGTGCTAATTGTATGTTTAAAAGGAGTAATAATAAATGTTTTTATACTTTTTCCCTTTCCCCATTGCAAGAGTGCAGTAAAGTCATCAACTTTATGTCATACTTATATCAAATAAGAGAACTTTATAAATGTGATGTTCTATTTTTATAGCCATATTAATATATTCCTTCACTTAGTATGTGTTCTGTCTACACGTATATATGACTTTTTTTCAGCAACAAAAAAAAGAGATCAACTTTTTTTTTGTCTTAAAATACCAATAATTCTAATTTTTAAATGCAGTCATTATATCATATTGACTTTATCTTGTATGATTGGGACACTATCTTCACCTGATCATGTGTTAATTCACAAACAGTGAAGTATGATAAACTGAAATTATTATTATGCTAAATGTAGGCCAAAATGTTCTCTATGAAAAAATAAATAGCTCAAATTTTCTATCTTAGCTATATGGGTCTCCGTTTTGAAATTCAGTTGTCAATTTAAACATAATTCAGGGTTTTGTGATTCACTTACACTGTTTGTTGCACTTGCTTTTCCACTTGTTGGAACTTAATGTTGCTGCGAGTAGAGCTAGCACATCATTAATCAACAGATACTTCACTTCTAACTAGTGATGTCCCGAACTGTTCGCCGAACGGTTCGCCACAAACGGTTCGCCACGGACTCATCATTGAGTAAACTTTTACCCTGTACCTCACAGTCAGCAGACTCATTCCAGCCAATCATCAGCAGACCCTCCCTCCCAGACCCTCCCACCTCCTGGACAGCTCACTAAGAATGCAGCTTCACAATGGATGCTGTCCAGGAGGTGGGAGGGTCTGGCAGGGAGGGTCTGCAGGGATTGGCTGGAATGTGTCTGCTGACTGGGTGGTACAGGGTCAAAATTTACTCAATGATGAGTCCGCGGCAAACCGTTCGTGGCGAACCGTTCAGTGAACAGTTCGGGACATCACTACTCCTAACACTTAGGGTTTATTAAACTGGGATTTGTAAGGTATTGACAATGGAATCGCACATTTTACAACAAAATTGTTGAAACCAGAAAAAAACTAGTTTTTCTAATCTCTAATATTTTGGCCTAAAATTAGCAATTCCTTCTCAGTCCTTCCATATTTCTACACCTCCTTTATATGCTACACAAATCAGACATCTAGATGTTTAACATTATTGTGAATAGCAAAGGAATAATGAAATCGTAGATAATGTTAATTTTTACATATTTTCTTCACTTGTAAACTGTTGTTGCAAGAACGTTGAGCGATATCAGGAATTGTTGATGGAAACCGAAGCTTTGTCTGTTTACAAGTGAGAAAAAAAAAATGAGATGTTCCAAATGTTCATTGTAGAGGTCACATGATTAGTAGATGCCATCTGTATTGTCTGAAATAAACCACTGTTGAGCAATGACACCTTGTTTGAATTTTTTTAAATCTCCAAGTATATAGTCTTGTTCTATTTTCTGCACAGTTAAAAGTTAGTCTATATTACTATCAGCGGTAACAATGGTAACAATCTATGCTTATAAAAATTAACTGGCCTACAGACACAAACTGAGCCTTTGTGTGAACATTAACTCACCATTATACATGGATATATGCATAGTTACAGATGAATAGCTACACCTAGTGAAATAATCTATATTATTCATTCCATACACACATTTACCTTCAAGCATACATACCTGCGCTCAATGAGTTTGATATAGCAGGGCACAGTGACCCAATAGGAATAACATTAAAAAGTCCAAACTTTATGGCACCAGTGATGTACAAGTCATGACTGTGATCTTATAATCTGTGATGTGGGCCAGAACAGGGGTCACCTTAATGACATTCATAAGAACTCGGTCTTGAGGTTTAGCCCCAAATGGTCACTTATATTATAGCTTTAGATGCCGGCAGCCCATAGCGCTCACAGCCTAACGTTGCCATCCATGGTTGGATAGTTTTAGACTACTCATTAAGAAGTGAAACTTTTGCATTATCTAATAGGCCTGCTTTTTTATCAAATCACTCAAAAAAAAAATAAAGAGAAATGGTGCAAGGGGCATCCAAAAGCTCATTGCATCATGCTTCGGTAAGCTGTAGTGGTTTTGATGCTTACGATTGGACACTTCCTTTCCATGTACAATTAACAGCATGACTCTATCTCTTCCTGTAACAGCTCATGGAGCTCATGGTTATCAATCTTCAAGACAGGCACACTACATTCTCAGTAACAACTTATGTTCATTTCATAGCTTATGGTGGTATGAGGTCTCAATGTCTTCCTGCATATACTGTTTTTAACTGCAGAAATTTATTCAATTATTTCCACATTTAAATCTGTTCCCTTTACCGGTGGAGTACCTACCATGGTCGCAGGGGATGCAGCTGCAACCGGGCATGTCACTCCAGGGTAGTGGGCTGCCGGCATAACTTTAGGGTCGGTGTACAGCTGCACCGCCACACGGGTCCGCGGTTGCTGGGTGACCAGCCGGAACTGATGTCACCGCACAACACTCCCCGTCCTGCCGGTCATTCAATATAGCCTGACCAACAGACTGCAGTCTAACAGTAAAGTGCTCACTGAGAGAACACTTCCTGTCAGATGGGGTACCGCTGTCCGCTCGGAGGTGAGCAGGTTCAGCAGGGCAATTGCAGAGAGACACATGAGGGGGAGGCAGAATAAAAAATAGAGAGGTTAGGGGGGACAAGATGAGACACATGGAATGGCTATGGGGAGGGTTGAAAGACACATGGAGGGGCTGGGGGGACGGGATGAGACACATGGAGGGACTAAGGAGAGGTGGGAGAGACACATGGCTGGGGGAATATTAAGACACATGGAGAAGCTGGGGGAATGAGACACATGTAGGGGCTTGGGGGTATTGAGACATGAATGTGCTGGGGGAATGAGATATATAGAGGGGCTGGAGGGTAATGAAACACATGAAGGGTCTGTGAGACGGAATGAGACACATGTAGGGGCTGGGTTAGATTGAGATACATGGAGGGGCTGGGAGGGAGAATGAGACACATGGAGGGGCTTTGGGGGGGAATGGAACACATGGGGGGCACCAGGGCAATATTTGGACTGTTGACCTGTGTTTCCTAATTACACCTTATTCACTCACTAAAATATGCCACTTGATTTGCAATACTCCTCTTTGCAAGCACAAATATTGTCCTGAGCAGATGTTCAGTTGTTGGTATTCAGCAGACCTACAACTACCAGATACCTTTGCTTTGCCAATATGGTATCAGCTCAGTATCACCATAGAAAGTTATGAAGGCATAATCGTTGGTTGAGTAACTTCCTGGTTTGAATAAAATGCAATGCAGAAGTTGCAAAAAGTTAGGTTATAGCAAATGCAGGAACTTCAAATGAGAGTATCCTTATTAATTGTATTATTTTTCATTTATTACTTTTGTATATGTTTTGTTGTGCCTTATATTAGTAAGGTATTAACCCCTTAAGGATGGCAGCATACAATGGCGTAAAGCAAAATGTGGGCTTTAATGCCACTCTACAGCATAGCACTCTCCGCAAACCGCCACCTACTTCCGCCTAGTATACTTACCTACTGCAGAAATCCCAATCGTGTGTGACAACACAGGTAGTCCTCCTACAGCCAATCCTGTATGTAGGCTTGACTGGTGTGCAAATTTTTGTTTAACATTGTATTAACGATAGATAGATAGATAGATAGATAGATAGATAGATAGATAGATAGATAGATAGATAGATAGATAGATTTACACACACACACACACACACACACACATATATATATATATATATATATATATATAATTATATTATTTTAATAATTATATATTGGGGGACCTGCCTGACAACCCAGGCAGAAATGCCAGAGAATTTAACTTGCAAGCCTTATATCGGACCCAGTAACTGGGTACTGTTGTACTCGTGAAACGTCACTGAACACAAATATGAGTGCTTTAAAACAGTAAAACATATAACTACAATGATGCCATCAGTGAAAGGGCAGATTTTATATTAAAAAAAGCAAAAAAATATGAATACTAAGTTTGGCAGGGTTTGTGACTAAGTGGCTACTAAAATAGACTGGACATAAAATACCCTATGCTATTTTGAATACCCTGAGTTGTCTAGTTTTGCAAAAGATATGCCATGATGAGGGTAATTCACATTCCTGGGCTGCCATACTGTCTCAAATGCAACATAGGCAAATTAATCTAGCAAATGTCAATGTGTAGAAGCTGAAATGGGCAAGCTCTATGTGACACTGTAAGTCCATGGTCAAATAAACTACCATGAAATTTGTACATTGGGGCAATTATTGTAATCGTGGGGCATCAAAGGATACAAATTGTGTAGTAAAAGCTCACAGTATTATGACATGCATAATTAAACTGCAGAACTTGGAAAATAACAAAATGTCTTCATTTCTCACACTTTTTTAGATTTTACTCCATATATAAATATGTAATATGAAATTAAAGCTCTATTTCTCCTGAACAAAATGAAATATAATAAGTGTAAATATGAAAGAGGTAAAATATGAACGGACATATAGTTCAAATTCTAGGTTTTGTTTAAGTCAGAACTTTTACAATTGCCTCCATCTTTGAGGGGTTTAAGAATGGCTTAACAATAATGCGTCATCTCCAGCCAGGAGTCTATTTGCTGAAGATGACCTCCAAGTTCATGAGAAGACTGAGGCACTGGAAGGAGGAAAAACATTATTTACTTCTTTTTTTTTTTTTATTCTAAATTTTTCCGTATTCGGTTGTACAAATAAATGACATCTGACATCTCAGTGTAATTTCAACTTTGAAGCATGTAACTGTAACAATTGTTCTGACATCATTGGAGGTGGTTAACAGGGTGTTCTTTGAAATGTGTTTGGTAGGCAAATTGGGTTTTCTTTTGGGTCAGGTTAGGTGACATGCCCAGGGCTTGTAAAATGTTAGCAAGTTAAGTGTTGGTGCGTGTTGCGCTCCCGGGATACTACAGGCTTAAGGTTAAAGGTGTGCTCCTGTAGTTTCAGGAGGATGCAATGCTGCATTGGAGCTTGCTCGTGTGTATTATCAGGTTGGTTGTTGTGTGTAACTAGTGCCAGGGTGTGTACGTCCTGTGGGCATTATGTGCAGTGCGAGAATCAAGTTTGTGTGAGTTGTAGTCTGTGCGGTATTTCGATGGTGATCTGACATGCCTAAGGTTACCCCTGGCCTAGGGGATGGTGGGGGGGTATTTCAGACGCAATTCATCTCTGGACAGCCTGATCGTTAGAGGCTAGTTACTTGCTTGGCGGGGGAATATGAAACTGTGGACTCTTCGTTGGTTGGAATAAAAGTCCTTATAGACAGTTCGGTAATGGTGTCTAGTTAGCCACGGGGCTGAACATAGATAAGGTTATCTCAGTTCCTGTCGTGGCTTAGGTATTCGGGGGCTACAGGCTCTTCATCGCTGGTCCGGTGTAAGTGCTAGCTGTTTGGTCCCTGGTTGCGTTGTGGTTGTCTTCTGTAGTGTGGTGTGGCCCCGGTTGGAGTCCCAGTGCAGTCAGGAAGGCCGGAGCTCCCATCGGGGATGTGAGGTTGTGAGTGGTCCCCTCATGATGGACGAGTAAAGAGCCGGTGTTGCCCCATCTGTATGGTATGGTTGCTTTACGTAGGGTGGTCGTCACAGCACCAAAGGTTTTACGTCTGAGCAGTGTGGCTCTGGTGAGGTCTTGAAAAAATAAAAGTTTTGCATCCTTGAATTCTAATGGCGTTTTGCATCCTCGGATTCTAGTGGCGTTTTGCCCATCAGGGCAGTCATGATTTGAATCTTGTCATGTATGGTGACACAGCGTAAGATGACATCTCTGGGGGTATCGTGTGTGATGCTGACAGAGCTTGTTACACGATATATATCGTCCAGAGTGATTTTCTTTGCTACTGAGTGTGACAGGAACGTTGTCAGGAGGCGTTGCGTGTAGTGTGGCAGTTCTTCAGTGGTGATGATGTTGGGTATGCCATGGATTTTTATGTGTGTTCGCCGTTGTCTGTCTTCGAGGGACATTATTTGGGCTGCTAGTACTTGCTGTTCCTGTTGCAGCTGTTGAAGTGAGTCTTTCAGGGTGGTCATATTGTTGTGCACTCCTGCTATGTCTGTTTCTGTGGTTGTGATTCGGTCTGTGACTGTTTGCATATCTCTTTTAATCAGGGCTATGTCAGCAGCCAGTAGCCTCTGTATGTCTGCCAGGAGCACTTTTAGATCCCCTTTAGTGGTGGGGGCTGAGTCCTCTGGCGAGGTCTGGGGTTTAGTAAGCCCAACCTGGGGGTGCTGTGCGTCTGGGGTTGTCCTTCTGTCTATTTCTGGGACGGGGGCCATTTTTGGCGGGTGGTCCGCTTGCATTGGTGCGGCTTGTGCTGGTCCCAGGAGCATTTCCTGATGTCC